ATATTATAAAGAGACGTTTGAGGGCTATTAAATCTCTCTCTTTACTCTTAGCTTAATAACATGCCGGTGTTGTGTTTAGTCTCTGCTACATGACGCATATTTTCCAGAATATATGAAGTGGAGGTTTAATGTAAGCCAGTGATAAGCTCTGACAGCTCCATATGCAGACAATTAGAAAAGGCTAAAGAAGCCAGTGGATGTTCCTCAGCACTGACATGTTAAAGTCTGACATTCAGGAACAACACAAAAGTTAAAAAAAAAAAAGAAAAGAAACTGCTTCTAGGTGCTTGTACAGCTAGAAGCATACATCAATTAATTCTAAGAAAAATATTTAACTTTTTACTCAGAATTACTGTAATTATGTTTTCAGTACATGCGGGTATCTTTAGAATTACAGTAGCCAGTTATTGGCTAAGAAAATACAGATGTAAATTGCAGTTATGACCTGAGAATATGGTCTTTAATTATGTCCTGCCTGCACTGTGATATTTGGTTCTTGTGGTGTCGCCTACACTCTGTGGTCACACAGCCACCAGCTTATGACAAAACCCAATATCATGCATATGCCTCAGCAATAAGCCAACTGGAAGGAAGCCAAACTATTGTACATAGCATTGCAATTTACATTAATGAAATGACCACAGCAAAAGGCAGATTTATTGTTCTTTTTCTTCTGGGATTAAGCCAGTACAGTGCGCACTGACATTTATTTGTTGTTATATTTACTACATGTCAATCAGAGACATCTAATCTCAGAAAAGGCCTACAATTATGTCTTGGCCTCCCCATCATATTTTTATATCCTCTCTGTTGCTCTGCCATATCCAAAAAAGCAAAGCAAATAACTTCAGTTTTGAAGTTGGAGCTGTCTGCATGGGATTAGTGCCAAAAAGAGACTGCATGTCACTGATGATACACGTCAGACTATTAGCAATGAGTAAAAGCGCCACCAGAGGCGCCCTGTCACAAGAAATAAACCTTAATTTCCCTCGCAAACACAACTACCCTTTTAACGTGCAAATAGCGAGAGTGCAAGCGTTGTGATAATACTCCTGAAGAATGGTGGACTTTTAAAGACAACATTTGATGTCCACCGTTAAATCGATACTTTTTCATATTAATGAGACTGCATGAATTTGCACTTATCTCACCTCTTGCCGTTTCCCCGAAAGTCTCTTCAGTCAATTATCCCTGATGGGAATGTTACTCTTCTTCAGCGGCTGGCCTCTGCCTGTTTACATAGACGACACGTCTTAATAATACATGTTTTTACGGAGATAATCGATCAGTCTGGAGTAAACAAGAATGCCTGAGTAACTCTCACCTTGTAAACGGAAGATGTAGATTACTGATGCAAAAAGGACGACTGAGTGTATAATCGAACTTAAATTTTAGAGACGGATTTGCTGGTGTTATCACTATTTTACGCCGAAACCCATCACGTTAATGATGGGAACACCTGTTTATACTACGATTCCGCCTGTTAAATACATTATGCACTTTTAGTGATGAAGTGCATTTCAAATGTTTCAGCTATAAAATATTGACAATTAATCATGAATCAGTTAATTCGTTGCACAAAAACGAACATGCATTCTTGACAAACTCACAGCGACTCTTTTTCTGATATTGATTCTGCAAAACTACAAAAATACAACTTCAATTAAACGCGGGGTGATTGTTGCATTGACAAAAAGCTACTAAGTTTGTTTTACATTTGCGTATATTACATCTGAAAAAACATTTTAAATCAGTTACTGCGCAATGAAGGCGTGTTTCAGAGGATGGAGCCGGGTCTGCCCGTCTGCTCTGCTCTTTTCTTCCTCCTGCATCAAAACGCATCAAAGCAGCACTTCCGAAAGCACCGTCTCCCCATCTCCATCCCTCACCCTCCCCGTCGCGGGCCTTCCAGCTCGGCTACCTCCCTTTTTTCTGTAACATTTCCAGCAACTTTCGAGAAAACCGTTAAAGTTTACGCGCGCCAGATAGCAAAAATATTCTGAAATAGAACCAAATATTTACCTTAGAGTTAAACAGAGAAGCTGATTCTGTTTCTAAAAGAAGGGGGGAAAGGTGTTCCTTATAATCACTCTGTCTTTCCATACAGATCGGGTTTGAGTTGAGATCCAACGGGTTTTGGCAGTGCAGCTTGGCCACCGGAGCGCAGATGCGCATGCATGGATAGGTCCTGAAGTAGAATAGAAATCCATATTTGTGAGGCGAATCATGTATCTTCCTATGGACAGACCACGGGCCTCCTGTGTGAAACCAGCGGGCCTGCTGCAGGTGTGAGATGTGAGCTGTGGGAAGCTGTGCAGCCTCTGCAGCCTCCATGCGTCAACTGTTAAATGTAACATTTTAAAGGTGATTTTATTTCTGTTATTCATTCCTAAAATCCGTAGGATGGGACTCTCATTAGGGGAGAATAAGCAAGCATCAACACTTTTTTTTCGCTGTCCATAAGCACACGGATCACTTAATAGATCATTAACCACCGATATGCTGCTGACATGGACGGTTTTTTACATCTCGTCTCTCCATTACAGCCCGTTATTACCGAAGGGGGAAAGCCGCCGCCAGGCCTGCCTGGATCTATTAGACGGTGGACTCTGGTTATATTTGAGAGCATTACAACCTAATGGGGCTGCCGCCGGGTCGGCCTCGCTGGAAAGAAGTTTTAAGTCGGCTGTGCTCGGCATGGCATGACTCGCTCAGGGCGCTGTTCAAGTTGGAGCTCAGGATTTAGAAGCTCGCCTGCAGGTGCAGGGAATTAACAGAGCACGATTGTAACTGGAATACTACCTGTATGTTTTTATATCTTGTGCTCGGGAAAGGGAATGCCTAGAATTTGAAGTTGACTACAGCAGTATGTGGTTATCAGGCGCTTTGAGCCTGAAAATAAAAAGTGGGTAGCGTGTGAGTTGGCTTGAGATGTTATAAAGATTCCGGATAATTGTGCATTATCGCTCGATAAAAGCTTAAAAAAAAGAAGAAAAAAAAGGAATAAACGGGATCCAGAGTCGCGGTAAAGTGCACTGCAGAGTGCATTTTTCTTGGATCAATACATCCCGTTATTAGAATGTGCCTTTTGTCCAAAATAATAAAGACATAAGCCTGTGATGACTGATAATAATAATAATAATAATAATAATAATAATAATAATAATAATAATAATAATAATAATAATAATAATGTTTGGCTAAAAGCTTCATCTTTTATCATCAGTTCTTCTGGGGACTATATCAATTTAACTTTTAGCCTTAAGTCCAAGACTATTTTCAAAGACATAATAAAACAAACATAAACTACATCACATCGAGTTATTATGGGTTGTTAAATATGAGGGTGATTTATGACAGAAGTTTGAGTCACAGTTCATCTATTGATACACTGCTACAGCTCAAAACTGATTAAGAATTTAAACTAAACAAATAAGCCCTTCATTATCGGATCTCATCTTTGGCAGCCTCCTCTTACATTGAGTCTGATCAATACGCTATGGTCGCGGCTGTGCTCAACCGTGGATATGAGGTGGAAACGAAATGATAATCCAATCGATCCTACAAACGGACTCATTTACAAGCAGTTTCTTTTTGCAGGGACGCGAGACATTTGCTCACACTCCCTTTTCCCCCTTCTTTCTTTCTCTGTTTTTAGCAGACAATTAAAATAAAGACCAGATCAATGACGCTTGCATACTTCCAGGGAAGATCTGACCCTATTTTGGCCAAACTACCTGTTAGAAAGTGAGTGTTAAAAATACACGCGTGACAGCGAGCTTGTCGGAGACTCGTGTGACAGAAATGAATTGCTGTCAGTCACAATTGCATGATGTGACCTTTGAAAGCAGCAATTAGCGCGGAGATGACGATCCAAACGCAAATTAAAGGGGAATGTATAGCAGAAGCGTCATCCACAGCTTCGTCGGTTCGTGCGTTGCCCACGCAGGGGCAGCCTTGAGCCTGTTTTCTGGCGAATCCGCTGTTTTGATACTGCCAGGAGTAAGACAAACGGTGCGAGCCAAAAGCAGCCTGATGTGCGAGTAACAGAGTCTGAACAAAGTCAACTTTGCTTTTACCAGACAAAAAGATATTTAATCCACGAATTTCATTATATAGAATACTGCAGTGGTCTGTTTTTTATTTGTTTAAACAATAAATTGGGATTTAAAAAATCCATAAATTAAAGTGGACCAGTATTGTCGCCAGTGAGAAGCAGATCTACATGTAAACCTTGAGACTTTATTGTGGTTCTTCGCTACAGTGAACATTAAAATGACGTATTTGTAGCTACAGCCTTAATATAGTTATTATACATTAAAGCGCCAGTGTGAAATTGTGTGTGGCAGAAAAATAGTCACGATTTAACTTTTAAGGTCGCTTAGAAACTGTCTTCTGACCTTGTGTTATCACCATGCTGCGTAATACAGGCTTGTATGTGACTGGTTATCTTTTGGGTTTTTGAAAGTTATAGACATGCAGCAAATAAACATAAACAAGACAACATAAGAAAATGATTCTTCTTGATCTCATTTTCAAGACAAATGAAGTTGTGTCTTGAACTATAATGCAGGAGCAGTGCCTGTGGTAAGTCCAATTTGTATTGTGCATCTGGAAACATCTGGAACAACTGACTACCTCAGAAATCTGCCTGAAATTCAACGTTTGGTGTCATTCTAAGAGTGTTGGACCATAAAGTGGCAGTTCTTTCACGTTTCTCTCATTTCAGACACGACTGAATACGAGGAGCAGCGCTTTACATCGAAGGCATTTCACTCCGCCACTTTCCACCGTTCTTCTACTTTTAGGGAAGTCGGTCAGCTGACTGTAGCTGTCAAGACTGGATCGAGCGCCCTCCTCTCCTTCGTCCCTCTCCTCTTTCTCTTCCTCTGTTTGAGCGCAAAGTCCTGTTCCCATTGGAGAACCGAGTGCTACCGAGCTCGACGTCACCAGGCGATATTAGTATAAAGCGCAAGGCTGGCTTCAAGCGCAGTCTGCTGGATACCAGAGAGTGGAGAGAGTGAGAGAGGCGAGCCTTTAAATCTCTGCGGTGCAGAGCTGGAAAAGCTGCTTCTCAGCGAAAATCAGACGCCCTATTTACACCGCTTACTCGCTCCTTTTATTTTCCTGGGGAAAAAAGGGACTTACAACCAAGAAATTTCAACGAGGACTGGTGCCCGTCTCAGCGAATTAACGTGGTATTTCTTTTGTTATTATTATTTATGTTTTTTCTTGTAAATGCACTTCTGCTGAAGGGACTCGGGTTTTACTTTTGCACTGAGACGCACAGCTTTCTACCTCCCGCCTGGTCTCTCTGCCAGATTATCCCAGCAGAAGTAGGCTATATGACGCAAACCGTGTGCAGTGCATTAGTCTGAAAGTTTTCCTCCACGACTTTTTTTTTCTTTTTTTCCTTTTTTTCCACCAACCACGCGCTGTTTCATGCTACAGCAAGTCAGTGCACAGCGGTGGAGGAGCCAAAAGAACTATTGCATGAAACAAGAAAGGAGAGAAGAGACGCTGATTAATAAGTCAGTTTTTGCGACGCTCGCCAACACTTTTGCATATCTGCAAAAGAGTCGCGACAACAACATGAGCGCAGAGCTGAGCATGGGGCCGGAGCTGCCCAGCAGCCCTCTGGCTCTGGAATATGTGAACGATTTTGACCTGATGAAGTTTGACGTGAAGAAGGAAGGCCTGGCCGGGCTGGATCGCAACGGGGTGCGCCAGTGTAACCGTCTCCAACCCCAAGGCTCTGTGTCTTCCACCCCTATCAGTACACCCTGCAGCTCGGTGCCCTCGTCGCCCAGCTTCAGCCCCACGGAGCAGAAAAGCCACCTGGAGGAGCTGTACTGGATGCCGAACAACGGGTACCACCAGCAGATAGACCCGCAGACGCTAAGCCTGACCCCGGAGGACGCAGTGGAGGCCCTGATTGGAGCGACAGCTCACGGCCACCCTCCGCCTCCGCATGTCCAACAGCAGCTGCAGCAGCAAGGCGCTTTCGAGGGCTACAGGGGCCCGCATCACCACCACAGCCATCACGGCCACAGCCAGCAGCATCATCACCCCTATGCGGGGGGCATCCCGCACCACGCCGAGGAACTTTCTGGGCACCCGGGCGGACACAGCCACCCACATAGCCAGCATCATCATCACCACAGCCAAGACCCCGACAGCCCATCTCCGGTGTCCCCAGAGTCCCACCAGCCGCTGCACCATCACCGCCACCATCATCACCACCATCCGCACGGCCACCTGAGCCAGTCAGCGGCGCACCACAGCTCCGGGGGCGGACTCAACGTGGAGGACCGTTTCTCCGACGACCAGCTCGTATCCATGTCGGTGAGGGAGCTCAACAGACACCTACGGGGCTTCAGCAAGGACGAGGTGATCCGCCTCAAGCAGAAGAGGAGGACCCTGAAGAACCGGGGCTACGCTCAGTCCTGCCGGTTCAAGCGGGTGCAGCAGAAGCACGTGCTGGAGAACGAGAAGACGCAGCTGATGAACCAGGTGGAGCAGCTGAAGGCGGAGATCACCCGGCTGGCGAGGGAGAGGGACGCCTACAAACTCAAGTGTGAGAAACTGACGGGGTCGGGGGCCAATAACGGGTTCCGCGAGGCTGGCTCAACCAGTGACAACCCTTCATCACCAGAGTTTTTCATGTGAGTTGCCATAGCCTTTTTCTTGTGAACCCTCCAACTTACTCAACAAACAACCCCCACCCCCACTCCACCACCCCCCGACACCTTTACTTTCTGACTGACTTTGCTGATGCGCAAACGATAATAATCCACACCTCCCATACTGTTTGATTATATTAATAACGGTAACAATTATATTCATATTAGACGAGTAATCCATCAGATAGTATTCTCATATATAATCATCTCACCATCCACGTGTCAACTGAGATACAAAGAGCAATGTAGAGTGTCCGATCAGTCGCAGCATCTTTGTAGATTAGTTGCTTGTAGTGAAGAGACTTTTGTTTTTCTTCTTCAAAGAAGAGGAGCGACTGATGAACTTTTTTTGTTTGTTCGTTTGTCTCTCACTTGAGGCTCCAGCTTTTAAATCACCTGTAAGTAACGTGGGACGGCGTAAAGCAGTTGTATTTTTGCTGACATTCTTATGAACCAACAAGCAGGCCCGATCTCACAGCCTGCAACTCACCAGACTCACATTCGACAAGTGGACCCGAAATCTGAAGAAAAAATTAACAAATGAATCTTAAAAAAAAAAAACATAAAAAAAACGGGACACCACTTTATGCAAATTTATCTTCCGTCTACTAACCCGTCACGGGAGGGGACATTTTATGCAACATCTCATTGATTTATTGCCTGCTTGGTTATATTCGAATATATATTGAAAACAAAACAAAAAAATCTGCATTAAATATTAATCCTGCATGCTGGACATGTACGGTAATAATTTCTATTTTGTACCTTCATCTTCTCGTGTATATTAAGAGCATGTTGTTGATCTGCGCTTTTTTGGGGGGTGGGGGTGGGGGGTTAGAGAAATGCAGCGGGGACAGAACAGCAGGACTGGCGGTGCAGTATCATGGTGTGGGCTTCTTTTTCTTTTTTGGGGGGGGCTTGTAAATATTATGCAACCGCGAAAACTGCACAACAAGATTGAGGAGGCTGGTTTGTACTTCTTTCTGTGTGTTGTGTTTTTATTTCATTTGTTATGATTTTTTTATCGTGTTGGGTATTGTTTGAAAGAGGAGTGCATTTGTTTTCCCAGTTGCATTTAAATACAGCAAAACTGTGTCAAGTGCACTTTTTTGGATAATGATTTGCGAGTTTTTCATTTTGAATTTTGTGCAGACCCCCCTCCAGGAAAGACATACTATGATGTAATACTGCAATAATATTAAAGGCAGGCCTCAGTGCGAACTTTTAAGAGTAGTATTTAGGACGCATGTTGTGTGAGGCAGAGGAGACAAGCATGTGACCACGACATTATTCAAACCAGATTACGCAGAGTTTATACTCCATTGCACCGAAGGCTGGATACCGCGTGTATTAACACTCTGCTATTTTCACACTCAGTGTAGCTTTTATGGCACATATTCAGTGGGGCGAGGTGTTATCTGCATTTCTAAACAAATTAGAACCAAACAAGTCCAAATATTTCTCATCATAATTGGCAGCCACCTGTAGCCCCCCCCCAACTCCATTCGACCAGATGTTGATCATTTATATTTTACGCAATATTTAGAAAATTCGCAGTTACGATTTAGATAACACGAATGTTTTTGATAGAAAGTTTGAATATTAATGTTCTATGTTTTTCCTGATTTTTTTCTGCCGGTCAGTAAAAAAAGGGGATCCAGGTTGTGCAAAGTCTCAAAATGAAAACAATGTGTATGTTATGTAATACTTTTTTTCTTTGTTTTATTATTATTTGATGATTCTGGTTCTGCTGGCCAGATGCATAGTTAAAAGTTTTTATTTTAATGATTTAAATTAAACTGTCAGATCATATCGATTAAAGCATGGTGCTTGCATTGAAACTGTTGTTGAAAAGTCATGCATTTAACAATCTTTGGTTTGTTACTGATTCAACTGTGTTGAAATCGAACTGAAACTGCAGCAGCGGGTTGTTGTTTTGTTTTCACAAATTTCATGTACTTGGCGATGATGGGGATCAACTTTCAATCCTGTTTATATAAATAATAGTAACACTTAAATTTGAACTGTTCCATTCAGGCTGGTTTCTGTTTTGTCTCTTTTTGTTGTTTTTTGGAAGAAATTGTTTCCTATTTTGCTTATTAAAGTCATTGAAATGGCAATAATTACCTCTCAGACTTTATTATTTTTTTCGTTTTCACATTTAAGGATCTGTGACAAAATCATTCTGTCATATAAACAACAGCATACTAGCGGTAATTAAAGCTGCCACGCAGTGTAACGACAGTAACAATATGAATCTTTAAAAAGTTTGCTAATGCCCTGAAAAACATTTAAAATTATTTTTTCCCTTTAAGAGCTAATTTGCACTAATCAAGCAGTTTCCGTTTCATTTGCACTTTGTCTTCATTTTTATTTTCAGACTTAAAAACAAAGTGCAAACTTTGGATTAAAGCCCACTGGCCTGCAGTGATTAGATCACCGGGTATGGTAGTTTATGTGCCGCTGCAGGGAGATTCCTATACACGCTGCTCTGCTGGCATGCTGACTTCTGCAGAAACCCCGCGCCGTAAAAGGAGATCTTTGACCTTGCAATATACCGGAGAAGAGATGAAAACCTCAAATTTACATTAAGTGTTACAATAATTTTCATTCTCACCGTGCATGGCTTTGAATACACTTAAAGGCTAAATCTAACTGGTTCTTACAAATTAGAATCTTAAAAAAAAAGTCCGACCCTGTCGCCTAACGCGCGGAGCAAGGCCTCAGTTTCAAAATAATCCCGTGTGCGCCCGCGGGTGTGATATTTTTACGGTTAACGGTAATGGAATTTATTATTGCCATGTGTCAACACACTTGCTATACCTCGGAAGTCTGTCTTCACTTCTGATTATTGCTGCATGCAAACACTTGAGCAAAGTATACAATTCTGGTATTTTGTTGATTTGCCTTAAAACAAACTAAATAAATGAAAACACACTCTTGATTTTAAGGCGCAGTATATATACACATCAAAAGCACCGTCACTCTTCAATGTGCATGTCCTGACAGTACGATGATAGAAGCAGAGAAGAAGAAGGGAGTAAGTGTTGATCTGGTCCCGGTCTAGAGTTTCTGGTGTCAGAACATTATCTGCCCCATGTCTGCACATTCTCAAGGACAAAACCGCTAGGAAGGAATCAACCAATGAGACTCAAGGAAGGCAAGTCTAGTTTACATTCTCCCCTCTCTCTCCCTCTCTCTCTTTGGACAGCCACCAGCAGCCTGGGGCCATGAGTGCAACTGGGGTCAACCAGGAGAAAGAGGCCTTTAATATGTGATTTTAATTGAACATAACAAAAACAACTGAATAGGCTTATCTTTATCCCGATTCTTTTCTTCAGATTTTTCATAAACGTCACTTCATGAGTGAATCAGATCTAAACAGGTTATGTAAAGAATCATATTATGACTTCAGCACTCAAAATGTGCATGAAACTCAGCTGGATGCATGGAAAAGAAAAGGGGAAAGAGTCTGGAAGCGCTCGCTGAGACACAGAGGGAAATAATCCAGCATTAATATCAAATACATGACGAAGTTTACCAATTTCATCGCAGAGGCTTAAATTCTATTTCCGCCACATGTATGATAAACCTCTGAAAAGCAACGCATCAACATTGGACAGCATAAAAAAAGATGATCCTAAAAAATATTACGGCAATCTGATTTATGTCTAAAAAAATCTGAAAACCTGAGTACATTATTACACTATTTTTTGCTCACATGATTCCTGACTGCATTTTATGTGCATTATTAACAAGCTGCAGCGATAACATCTCAAAGGGAACTTTTTGTCATATTCTTGCCTGCAGAGAGTGATTTAAAATTTTGCGAAGAAGAGCGTCTTTCATTGGGGACTGTGTGTATTTCACAGAAATGTGTGATGATAAATTGGGGAAAGGATAAAAAAATATGAGCGAAAAAGGCAGAGGTTGAAACTACGAGAGCGCATCAGCATCAACCTCAGCTCAGCGGAAGAGCCAAGGACACAGGGACCTGGCGTACTGTAATGATTTTAGTCTCCAATCACACATTCATGCCCCCCCACAGAGATCCTATCTGCATTCAGCCCGCTCTGCCAGCCTCCACCTTCAGCTCCTTGTATCCGCAGCGGCAGCATCAAGCAGTCCGGGACAGCAGCCTCAATCATGGCATGCTTCTGTTCATCGCCCGGACCTCACGACATTTTTATGCTCCAGTCAGCTTCAGCAGGTTAGCTCCTTTTATAAGCTCTCCAAGCATTAGCCTCAACCCAGCTGCACGCATTTTTAGAGCCTCTGAAGAGTGTGTGCTCACTGCTGCTTCCTCTATGCAGACTTGAACTCAAACCATGAACTCATTTGCATCTTTCATCATTTAGGAAAAAAAAGAGGGGATCTTTTTTTTTGTGCTAATTTTACCACACGCTGCTCAACTGAGAGAACCACATTTAGTTATTTTTAATTACCACCAGCATAGCTTGAGCTTTGTATGTATTATCATGTTCATTAATTTAAACGTGGAATAAATCCCATTCAGATATATTGCTCACACACAGAGACACACATGTGCACAAGCAGTCTAGCCCACTTCCACACTAGCAGTCCATTCACTGTAATTGGAAGTTACTTTGCTGCTACTCTAAATCACAGTGATTTCCTGGGAAATTACAGCAGGCTATTTTCAAGGGACACACACACACACACATACACACACACAAAAGAGCATTAACCAGTTACTGAGACTGTTTTTGGATGTGTTAGTATTTACCTACCAATACAAACACATTGAGAATAGAAGATGAAAGAAATATGTTGTTTCATCTCTCTATTTTCTGCTTTCCTCTTTAGCGTTGAGTGCTGTCAGATTCTTCTTGGCACTGGAAATGTTTGCTTTCTTCCCAAATATGCTGAGGGGATCTCCCAGTTACATCAGTACACTGGACGCGAGTCAGTGGCAATCAGTCTTCAGCATCTTCTCCTCATCTCTCCCTCATCTCCCTCGTCATCCTTCCCTTCATCTACTCCCCCTTCAGTCCTCGGACGAGGCCAGCCAAGTCTGGAGTTCAGATAGTGACAGCGTCACAGCATCTGTTATTCATCTTCAGCATGTTATGCATCATGCACGCAAACACAAAAACACACACGGATGCACATTCTTAAATAATAACATACACACACATTACATCATTCCTCTGGTAGATATCACACAGATTGGTGCAGGTAGTATAAATATATTTCCTTATGTCATGTGATCCGGCACATGCACACACAGACACATAGACAGACACTTGACACAAAATATGGGCTTTCCAAATACTTCCACATTCACACTGTGCTGTTATTACACCAACTTAAATGATAATACGTCAAAAGGCTCAACTTTCACCTGACTGTAGATGGGAAAGAGCTACTTTTTTCCCACTGACCTCGTCAACCACACTCTCTCGTTGTGATGAATTTGTACCTTCATGGTCACAACCAGTCAATGGTCTGTATGATGGATACCTATAGCCATGGCCGCAGTGAGTCGATGAAAGTGACCCATGTGTACATCTCTGCTTCCGGGATGTGAAACCCAATTC